AAAAAAAAAAAAGAATTGCTTTATTTTATGACTTTTCTTCTGCGGAGGTGCTGGGCTGCCCTACCTCCCAGGGATGGAGGGAGATGTGTCCAAATGGCCAGGCCAGGGTGACAGAAACAGAAAAGCTGACATCTCAGGTGTGTGTGATTCTTGTTGAACGTGTTGAGGATTTGTTCAGTGGGAGCCCCTGGCATGCCCCCACCTCACAGTGTGTGATGGGCAATGGGGAGTGAGACCCAGGTCTGACCCAGGAGCCCCTGCCTGGCACAGGCTGCAGGAAGGTCACCGAGCTTGAGTGGGGTTTGCCCACTTGCTCCTGGAAAGAGTCGTGGCCAGTCCAGGGATGACACCAATGTCACACCTCCAACCCCTCAGCTCCCTGGGCCCCACATGCAGCATCCTGGGCAGCAGAGGCCAGCGAGTGAGTCTGCCCGACCTGAGCAGTGCTGACTCAGGCCACTGGCCACTCTCAGGGAAGGCTCACCTGCAGGGACTTGTCGTACCAGCGGTTGGCCCCATTCTTGCCGCAGCCTCCACCGTGAAGGAGCTGGAGCGCCCTGTTGGTGTCACTGGGCTCGCAGCCCCCAGGGGCGTCCAGGCACACCAGGCAGACGCAGCGCTCGATCATGTCCAGCGAGTCCCGGTTGGTGGAGTCTGCAGGGTGACCAAGCAAGGCCTTATCACTTGTCCCACTCCGGGCCTGAGGTCCCCTCTGTACCGACTCACACACCACAGGCAGACACACATGGACACCCAGATCTTGAGCCAGTCCTGACCCCTCCCCTATCCAGTGCCAGACTGTCCAGAGCTTCTGCACTAACCCCAGGGCCCAGTTCAACCTCAGAGTCCCTCCATCGGTGGCCAGTTCTGCCTCCAGATGTGTGGTCACTGCCCTGCTTGCCAGGATGAAAGGAGCTGGTGTAGGGCCTTCTCCATGGACATTAGACTCTGCTCCAGGGGAGGAGCACCAGCTCCCCCGTTCAGCAGGGCCCACGCTCCGGCACCAGAATGCCGAGCCTGGCACACAGGCATGTTTATTTGTTCTGAACTATGGTTTTCAAATTTAGTTTCCGGAATTTAAAATTAGTCAATTTCATATGAAAATCGGAAGTAAGAGAGCAAGGGTGCTGCTCTCCATGCCCTGCCCTCCAGCAGTTAGCAGATGCAGTGGCAGATGGATGGGCCAGTCTGCCCTAAGCCTGTAACCAGATGAGCCCACTGGGGCCACCTCAGGCCAGTGGAACTCATCAGGACAAACAGATTAAATGCCGCTGAGTTGTGCAGGAGGCGTGTTGCCAAGGGAGCCGAATCCTCCACGAGGGCATCAGGAATGGGGTTCTTCCCGGAACAAGCTAGGCCGGCCAGATGGGCTGTGGGGCTTCCTCCACCAAGCACAGAAGCTTCACAAAGCCTGCCCATGGGGCCAGGGCTGGCCTGCCGTGCCCCTTCTCCCAGGCAGGAGTCTTCATGGTGGTGGCTATGTTCCTCTCCACAGTCCTGCACAGGGTGTGGCATCTGGGCCTGATGGGGAGGCAGCCCGGCACTCAGAGATCCAGGCTTCTGGGCTGGATACTGTACCAGGAGGAGGGTTACCATCACCCCCCCAAGTCCCAGAATATTGCATGTGAGGGAAGGTACAGTGTGTGGTATTTGGAGGCAGAGGGGCTTCAGGGTCAGAGGTTGCCCGTTGCATAATGCAATATCCATTTTCCCTTTGGCCATAGGACACCTGGTTTCAGCTTAGCACAGGACAACCAGAAGTAAAACTGCATTGCCCAGGCTCCTTACAACTAGGGGTAACCGCAAGCTTAAATTCTACCAACAAGATCTAAAAACACTGTGACAACTTCTAAGAAACCTTAAAGACGACTAGCATGCGTTCTAAGCCCTCCTCCCCCCTTCCCTCCATCCTGCTGCCTGGAACACAGGAGTAACAACTGGAGCTCTGGCCTCCGCTAGGGACCATGAGAGCGAGGGCCACACCCTTGTAGTGAGATGGAGGAACCCTGGACCCCTGCATCAGCCCTGGCTCACGGCTGGTACTCACGAAAGAGAAGAGAACATCTGTATTGTTAAAGCCACTATTATTTTGGGTGGCTATTATTATTGTGGCCATATCTAACCCTAACTCACATGGTTCTTGATGTGGGGCTCACATTCTTACAGCACAGGAATGGGCTGGAGCTAAGAAGCTGTGCCCATGATTTGCCACAGTCCTCTCAGAGTTTAGCCCCTTGGGTTCTGCAGGTATTGACATTCAAGGTCCTTGTCCAGAAGGTTATTTTTTTTGTCGAATCCTGGGGGCCGATGACCCCTCCCAGAGGACAGTCAGCTCCCTCCTTTCTCCCTCTTGTCCTAGCATCAGAGCAGGCACTTGGCTGGCCCTGGTCCTGAGTGCGGGCCCTCCTGTTTCCTGTGCCCCTTGGTCCCGAGCCCAGGAACACAGCCCTCTGCAAGTGCAGCCACCTGCACTCTCAGCTCCTGTCCTTTCCTTCCCACTGGGATCCCAGTAACCATTGAGTCGGGACTCCCCTTTCAGAGCCCAGGCTCAGGAGGCTTCTTTTCTTCCAGAGCCTCAAACCAAGAATCATGCCCACCATCTCTCACAGCCATCGGAATCTGCCTTCCTGAAGACCAGGGAATATGTGGGAGCAGGTGCAGCTCCCACTTGCTTCCATCCTCAGGCTCAAGGTCTCCTCACAGGCTCTCTTCACCAGCCCAGCCCTGCCTGTGGGCTGGAACCAAGCCCAGCAGCCCCTTCCCCAGGCAGTGGGAGGCTGATGGTGCCAGTGGGAAACCACACCAGGGATGTGCCTGTCCTTTCTTCTGTCGAGCTGGGAACGTGGAGTGGTCATAGCTGAGGTCCTGTCTGCTCCTCCTTACTCTTGGCCTTGTCCTAGCCTCTCTGGCTGCTCCCTCACTCAGGCATGGGGCAAGTCCCCTGCTGGTGCTGTCGGCCTCTATGAGGCATCCTAAGAACCTCCCTTTGGCCTCCTCAACTCCTGCTGGGCACGAGGATGCTAAGGCCACCTGTGCTGTTCTCTGTTCTGCCCAGGTGATTCCTCCAGGTTCATGAGAAGTTTCCACATGTCCCAACCATCCCCTTCCTCCTACTTTTTGAAAGTTCTGGGTGAAGGGGCCATTGCTCAGAGAAGAACTTCTACTCTGAGAAGGAAGGTGACCAGCAAACCCATTCTCTGCCATTCATCCTCCTTCCTGTCTGGAATAATGAGGATTTGGGGAGCACTCTCAGGATGTCTCTTGATCCCTATGGGGCTACGATGATTCATCACCTTCCACAGGGCCTCTTCGGCTCTCCTGCCTCGGTTTCATGAACTTCAAAGCTTTGAGCCCTGCCCTGAGGAGCTAAAGATAAGTTTGAGAGCCGTGGCCTTGCCTTCCCTCTGCTCCTTAAGTGTGGTGGCATCACTGTGTCACCTCTTCAACCTGAAACAGCTCCTCCTGCCCACCAGGTAGAATCCAAACTTCTAAACTCAGCTCCTGGGCTCCAGGGCTAACCTCTGCTGCCCCCAGGTTCAACTCCCTTGGCTCTTTGCATGGACCTCACACTGACCTCCTGCCACGACCTAGACACCTGTGCACATGTATCCTCTCACCACTGGGAAAGCTGTCCCAGGATGGGGCCCTCCTCCCACGCTGCCTATCAAAGCTCTGCTTGTAGACCCCTCCCAGCCTCCCAGTCCTCTAACAGTGCTGGCCTTGTGTCCGGGCATAGTGGGAGCAGCCCAGAGTTTCTGCCCTCAAGGACTCCTCACACATGGAGCCACCTGCTCAATGCAGATGAGGAACCTCTGCTCTGTCCACCAGGCCAGGCTCACAGAGCACCTGAGCCAGGGCTGGTCCAATTCCCTCCATACCAACTGTCTCCTACCACACAACACATGGCTTTACAGTGTATGACCCTGCCACTATCCCCAGACATCCAAGCTTTAAGCAGTCACTGCCAGTCCAGCCCCAGAAGCCCTGATCTTGTTCTCTCCTCTATCTGTGAGCTTGCAGAGGGTGCAGCCTGGGCCTCTAGCTCAGGCAGGCAATGTCCATGGCTGGCAATGGGCCTTATAGTGCTCGATCAGGTAAGGTTGAGACCTGTGTGCGCAGCTCAGAGAGGGAGCCCAGAGGAGCCCAGCTGGCCAACAGGAAGGTCCATGGCTCCTGGAGGGTCAGAAAACCACTACTTTGGGGGAAATGGAGCTTCATGGCAGGGGTGAAGGACGGGAAGGAGATAGGAAGGGATTCATGATCATTTGCAAGGCTCCAAGCTCCACCCTTCTCTGCTCCAGTAGGAGTCCTGACCAGTAACCATGGGGCTTGGCCCTGCACCATGTGGGTGGAGCTGTGGTGAAAGGCAGGTAGAGTTTTTGTGAGGCTGCAAGGACACAGTGCAGTGATGCTGTTAGGTAACCTCTTGTGAGCACCTGCTATGTGTGAGGCATCAATCAAGCACTCATACAGATGACTATTGAATAGGTGCATTGTCATCACCACACACAGTGAGGAACAGAGGAGCTGCGTGTTTTATCTATAGTCACCCAGTAAATGGAAGGCACCGACCTTGATCCAAACCTAATGCCAGGGCTGGGAGCAGATCATCAAGGACCAAATGGCAGTATTGGGAATGTGAACTTCATCTAGCACCAGCAGGGAGCCACCGAAGGATCCCGGCAGAGATTGATGTGGTCAGAAAGAGTCTAGGTTGCCTAGCAGCTTGGGAAGACATGGGCCTGGGGGCCAGAAAAGGAGCTACTAGCAGCCCAGTGCTGCCCACCTTAGTCCTGTTGGCCATGTCTCAGTGAGCTCTGAGAACCCAGGTCTGGTATCTGTCAAAACAGAGGATTCCTTAGGAACAGCTCCAAGGCCAGGGTAGAGTGGGAAGGTGGCAGATCCTAAGAATTCCACAGGAGTCCAGCTGAGAGGACTAGGGAGCAGGCCTGACAGAGCCCCTGAGTAGGAAAGTGGAGGCTTGGCACACTCCTTCCCAGCTAGGCAGCAAAAAACCCAGTTTCCCAGGCATCAGTGCCTCACTCTCCTCCAGACAGGAGAGAGGGACTCCTGGGAGGGGCTGAGCCATCACTCCCCAGCATGCTGGCTGTGCAAGGCCTTGGAGCTCAGCACCAACCAACAGGAACCAGGTCCTGGCTCATTAGACAGAGTGAAATGGGAGTAGGACAGCAGAGTGGGGATGCCAGGTGGCCTTGCAAATGAACTCCCTGCATACAAGGAGCTGATCGGTCAAATGCTGACAAGTTTATCGTGTCAGGCAGAAAATAAACTATAGCCAAACTCATCCACCATGACTGGCCCAAATGTGTTGGAAACATAGAGCAGTGGGCTGGAGGCACACGGCAGGGGCCGTTTGTCTTGTGACATCGTTATCGAGCTCACGGAGGCTCATTTAATGTGGTAAATCAATCTTCCTCAAGGAGCCCCTGCTTAATAGTGAGAAGTTGGAGTTGAGTAATAGGAGGAGCTTGCTCTGCCACCCATGCCTGGGGAGTTGACAGCTTTGGTGATGTAGAAATTCCAGAGGCCACAGGGCCTTGGACGTAGAAAGCTTACAGACCGTGACCAAGGTGAGCAAAGAGAAAATTGACATGGCACCTCTACCTTTGGACGTCTGCATTTCTCTCAGGTGC